ATTCCAGTGCAGCGCTCTAACCAACTGAGCTACAGACTACAGAGGCCAGCTGTTTAGCTGTAACTGTAAGTTCATGGATATATAGGTGATCGGGTGTGCAGGTTGTGATAAGGTGGACTTCAATGATCTGGTTTCTTGCACTTCACTTGGTGGAATTAATATCAGAATGTTGTTTTTAGGGTGTGTAATCCAAGTGAGTATATATACACTTCAAGACCTGACCAGGAATGACTGCATAAAATGTAGAACAAGATCCTCTGGTAGGAATTGAACCAACGGCCCTGCGATTCCGGTGCAGCACTCTAACCAACTGAGCTACAGAGGCCAGCTGTTGCGAAGTGCCAATAACCAGATAATTGAAGTCCACCTTATCACAACCCGTACACCCGATCACCTATATATACATGAACTTACGGTTACAGCTTAACAGCTGGCCTCCGTAACTCTGTTGGTTAGAGCACCGCACTGGAATTGCAGAGGTTCAATTCCTACCAGAAGACCTTGCGCTACATTTTCACAACCAGCACACCCGATTACCTATATATACATGAATTTATGGTTACAGCTCAACAGCGCTAGCCGGCCTCTGTAGCTCAGTTGTTTAGAGCGCTGCACCGAAATCGCAAGGCCGTAGATTCAATTCCTACCAGAGAATTCCTACCATTTTCAAAAGCACTAAAATCGGCTGATTTGTTTTCATTTGTCTGGGGATTATTTGCTAAAATCAGCGAATTGGTTGGCATTTCTCCAGGATAGCTTTGGACATATGGACGCGTCCGACACCATTCTCATGAGCTATAAATTGGCTAATTTGTTTGCATTTGTCTAGAGATTGGTTTTAGATGCATCCAAAACCATTTTTACTAGCGCTAAAGTGGGGTAAATTGATTTGCATTTTCCTGCAGGGTTGGTTTTGGACGCGTCCAAAACCATTCTCATGAGCTATAAATTGGCCAATTTGTTTGCACTTGTTTAGAGATTGGTTTTGGATGCATCTAAAACCATTTCCAAACGCACTAAAATACTAGCGCTAAAGTGGGTTGGCCAATTTGTTTGCACTTGTTTAGAGATTGGTTTTGGATGCATCTAAAACCATTTCCAAACGCACTAAAATTGGCTGATTTGTTTTCATTTGTCTGGAGAATTTTTGCTAAAATCAGCGAATTGGTTGGCATTTCTCCAGGATAGCTTTTGACATATCAGAAAACCATTCTCATGAGCTATAAATTGGCCAATTTGTTTGCACTTGTTTAGAGATTGGTTTTGGATGCATCTAAAACCATTTCCAAACGCACTAAAATTGGCTGATTTGTTTTCATTTGTCTGGAGAATTTTTGCTAAAATCAGCGAATTGGTTGGCATTTCTTCAGGATAGCTTTTGACATATCAGCAAATTGATTTGCATTTTCCTACAGGGTTGGTATTGGACGCGTCCAAAACCATTCTCATGAGCTATACATTGCCTAATTTGTTTGCATTTGTCTAGGGATTGGTTTTGGATGTATCCAAAACCATTTAAATTGATTTGCATTTTCCTATAGGTTTGGTTTTGGACGCATCCAAAACCATTCTCATGAGCTATGAATTGCCTAATTTGTTTGCATTTGTCTAGGGATTGGTTTTGGATGCATCCAAAACCATTTTCATTAGCGCTAAAATCGGTAAATTGATTTCCATTTTCCTTAGCTGATGCTATCTTAACCAAAACTATTGTAAATTATCTATGAATTGCCTAATTTGTTTGCATTTGTCTAGGGATTGGTTTTGGATGCATCCAAAACCATTTTCATTAGCGCTAAAATCGGTAAATTGATTTCCATTTTCCTTAGCTGATGCTATCTTAACCAAAACTATTGTAAATTATAGCATATTCGTACCATAGATTCCTTGTATATTATTGCCTTTATTGTATATAATGTATCTTAATAAAGTGGGTAAATAAAGTTTTTTTTAATCTGTTGTCAAGTTAAAGTGTGTATTTACTGTTTAGGTTTTTTTATGTTATGTTAGGCGGTTTTCGATATATTCAAAAACGAGTGCTGTTGAACGCATTCAAAACCACTTCTCCAATTACTCATTCATAAATGTTTTGCAATTGCATTGGATCTATCCCATTTGGACAGATTTGATCATTTCCCTGCAATAGGTCCAGAATTGATATTTTTCTGGACTATTTTTAATAAATTAGCTTGATTCTGCAAGACGGAAACAAATTATGCCCGTTTTTTGACGATATGAGCTGATATGTAGGCATTTATCTAAAAATTAGGCTAAATAGAATATGCAACCCTATCGTAGAACGTGTTTATGGCTTGTTGCTACAAATATATCCCTTCCAATCGCACTTTTTTTTTAAGAACTCTTCATTATGAAACTTTTGAAAGGAAAATAGACTGGTTGGACTGTATTTTTACAAAAATATCTTTCACTGAACTTTTCATGGAATTGGTCACTTGGTCCATATGTGCGATTTCATGGCAAATGTGCTTTGTTTTACTACCAACGAACTCTTGATTTGCCTTTTATCATCTAGTGAAAAACAGTGTTAACACATAATTATTATGTAAAATTTATAGTTATAATACTATCAATATATATATATATATATATATATATATATATATATATATATATATATATATATAGGCTATATATAATATAAAATACTTATTTATTATTTTTATATATACAAATACACATTATTATTTCTTTATACATTCAAGGCATAATATCTCCTTGTCTTTGAATATATATATATATATATATATATAGGCTATATATAATATAAAATACTTATTTATTATTTTTATATATACAAATACACATTATTATTTCTTTATACATTCAAGGCATAATATCTCCTTGTCTTTGAAGGAACTCCAAACATTTAGGAAGCAAAAATATTGTGTTTACTGCAGGCTCGTGGCGTATCTCGGTTACACTTCGTGTAACGCATTTTAACGCATATTATATTGGCCTGGTAATGCGTAGATAAAAACATAGTCGCCAACATGGTAAAATAGCACTATTTTCTATCCAGCAAACTGACCTGACGTCATTTTCGGAAGATGGAAGAGGTGTTAAATTGTTATGTAACTAACCCAAACCTTACCCCTACTCTAACCCCTAACTATAGCCACAACCCTAACCCTAACTCTAACCCTAACCCTAACCCTAACCAAATTAATAAAAAAATCCAAAAAGAATTAACGACTTTAGAAAATCGATAGGGCGGTTTGTCGAATCGAAAATAGTCCGCACACCGTATGATTTTTTTCTACAAACGTTTCTTGACTTTCTTGAATGTTATTTCGTTTCTTGACTTTCTTGAATGTTTCTTGACTTTCTTGAAAGTTATATATGCCACCATAAACAACTACAGTTTCAGCAAAATGCGCAAACGCAAATATAATGCGACAGTTGTAAAATAAAACCAAATAGCATCTTGTTATCTTTCTAGTTCAAACAGGGATGCCTAAATTACTTTGAATACGTACTTTAGTAAAAGTAGAAGTAACCAGTAATAAAACGACCTAAATAAGAGTAAAAAGTACTGGAAGCAAAACGTACTTAAGTAAAAAGTACATATCCTTAAAAAATACTTGAAGTAAAAAGTAAAAGTACTATTTTCTGTGGCGTGTAGGGGGTGGGGGGACTCTCCAAAGGATTGACATAACAGAAAAGACACAAAACAGCACACGCATTATATGCGCGCGCCTGTAATATACAATGTTTCACGGCATGGTCTACTTTGCAGACTCCACTGAAGATATAAGAAACCATTAATGAAAAATACCTGTAAAATAACGGGCAAAACACATTTTTCGGACCAATACCAGTACAATTAAGGTCTAAATACCATAACTTATATAAAAATTAATTACACCTTTTGAGGCCCCCTATTTGCAAATTTTGGGCCTCCCTTTAACTGGGACCAGGCAAACTGCCCCATCCCCCCCTTCTGGGAGGCCCCGATGTTAGGCTAGGATGAAAAATAACCTGTGCCTCGGTTTTACCTCGTACCGAACTAATTGCGTGGACTGTATAGCCACTAAAGTCCATTTTCGCGCACACAAAAAAATTGAAATGTCTGTTCTTTATACACTCTGCAGTATAGTCAGTATAAATCGTACGAAGGCCTATAGCAAGTGTTCATGATTTAATTTCGTTCAAGTTCTATAACAAATCGATCAGGAAATAACGCAACAAACGGCGGAATGAGATCTAAAAAATATAGTCAACGCATGTACAATGTATCCAGCGGGTTCCAAGCTTCTCTGAATCGAAGCGTACTTTTCTCTCGGCGTAGTAGTAACAATAGCCAATTCCCATTATACAGACTAATTTTAAAACCAGGCAAGGAGATACAAATAAATCTACTAAAATTAGTAAAATTGCAAAGTTTGCTTACGAAATGTTGTAACTGAATGCGGAAAATACATAGCATTGCAAATTTCTTAAATTTTGTATACTTCTGTATTGCGTCCGGAAATTCCTACCATTTTCGGCCCAAATGTGGTAAGAATTTCCGCACGCAATGCAAAAGTATACAAAATTTGCAAACTTTGCAAGGTTATATTTTCCGCATTGTACAACATTTCGCAACCAAACTTTGCAATTTTACTAATTTTAGTATGCTCGTTCTAGCTGTGGTGATTTGTATCTCCTTGCTTAGTTTTAAAATTAGTCTATAATGGAAGTTGTCTATTCCAACTTAAAAACATGAATTTTCAATCCACAAGCCATGCCAATGTTGGTGGTCAGCAATAGGAGACATTAGGGAGTTTACGCATGTACGACGGCGGCGTCAGGACGACGGCTAAACAAACTTTTTGAAATAAATGATTGTATGAAATATTGTCCTGTATTTACTTTCTTCTGAATTTAATACAGTTTAGAACGAGTAAAACAGAGCTAAAACCTTCAGAGCAATTTTGATCAACGCTGTTAGAAAAATCGCCTGCCACGACTTGAAATGCTAGCTTACTTTACAAGACGTGAAAATATGCATTTTGCCATCGTCAACAGAGCATGGACGACGTCTCAAACTCCAGATATACTTTTAATTATTCATTTCTTTTGTGCTATAAGGTTAATGATATTGTATTGACCGCCGTCGTCCTGATGCTGCCGTATTACATGCGTAATCTCCCTATTGACTGATCCATGTCGTTCTCCGACCTTGTGTCGACTGGTGTCAGCGAAGATTAATCAGTGTGGTTGGCGACGATGTCTATGTGACGAACTTTTGGAAGTGACTCAGGTACGTAACGTACCGGTGAGCATGCGCAGCTTGAAGATGTGTTTTCAAATTTACATACTTCCGGTTGATTCACGTATCAAAATAGAAATTTCCTCGCAAGCCAACTTTTTAGCGTACTACGGAAGTAGCAACATTCACTCAATTTTGAAATTTAAAATTTGGTTTGATACGTGTCGTTACGTTACGCTCTTTAAAGGCACAGTTCAGCCTTTTCAATGATGGTTTTCAAGGCGCATATTACAACCCTTTTAATTGAAAAAAAAGTAACTAGGAAAATCAACTAAGCATAATTCAAGACCAGTGAACGTCAATGTTTTTAAACATTAAACTGAATATGTTAAAATATGTTCAAAACATTGAAATCACTGATCTTGAATTATGCTTAAAGAGGCACTGTCATCAAAATTTTTATTTTCTTAAACGAAAATGCTCTTAAGGTTGCTCTCTACAGTTAATACAGTTTAAAATACAATTTTATCCCCGAGCCGACGGCGCGAAGCGCCCTGCGAGGGTACTAATTCCTCCCGGCTATTTACTCCCGGAGAAAGGAAAGCATTAGCGAAGTCTAAAGTTCATCAATTATCGCTGGCGCCAGACTATGGTTCATGGGTGGACCTCCTCACTGATCTCAAAAATATGGCTGCTTGCTAGGAGTGGGATAAGCAAGATTTCAATTTTCAAAAGCATATATTTGGAAAATCACGTTTCACACAATGAGCTTTGTCTTTGAAGCAATTTTTGTTGAAGAAATGAGAAGAATTGATTTACTATGGGAATCGTGAAATATAGTGCAAGTTTGCTTTGAATGTTTAATGTTTATGAATTTTGTTGCTTTTAATAATTTCTTGCGTATTAAAAGTACATGCAGCTTTCCTTCTCAGTCAAGCTGTAAGTTTCCTACCTTAAATTACCCTGTTTAATTCAAGAAAAAAAGGTAAAACGTAAAGGAGAACAAATTAATTTGAAGACCTAACTGAAATTACTCCACAACTTGAACTTATTAAGTATTAAAAACAGTTCACCGGCAAAGACGACAAAAGCAGTTTAGTTATTAAAATGAACATTTCAAAACATTTTACGAAGCGATTCAGTTTAAATTTTACATTAAATCAAAGCTCACAAAATGCAAAATAACATACCTACAGTACATAATTCGGAAATTGATTGTTATATAATTAAAAGCAATAATCTTTCAACTATTTTTGGCGACTTGTTCAAAAAAATATAAAATTTAAGATTGTCGTGTTGCCATGACAACACTGACGTAAACGCGAGCCTGCGTTCAGTGTTGATCAATTACTAATACAGTACTTCATGTAAGCCAATGTTGGGAAAATATAGGCGAGTGGTTGCTGCATGCATGTATTTCTAGTATAGATCAAACTTCATCCTCGCGACCTGCGCGTGGAATCGTTGTGTTCACTGTTCGAGCCGGTTCGGCAAAAATATTGAAACAAGCCGCGGGAAGTTTTTTGGCGTTTTTATCTACAAAGAAAGCTCCAGCTTTTCATTATAATCCTAATTTTTTCTGAATTCGAATAGTACGTATGTTATTAACCAGTTTAACCTATCTTTTAGTGTGTTTTTACGTTTTACGTTCAGCATTGTCTTTCATAATGTTCAAAATTTTCAACTGTTGTGTTGCGAACTGTCAAACGGAAATGATACGGTCT